TTTTTTTTTTTTTTTTTTGCCTGCTCACACAGTGGGTCATCTGATATGCAACATGGGCTTACATTTTATTCATATCGAGTGACATACTGATTTATTTTAGAGAACTAGTCTAAGTTACATCTGCAACATTTGTCCTACTAATCTGCTACTTTAAATGATGCAATACTCGCACATACTAAACATTTCCTGTAAAGGAATCCAAATTTAACAAAACTAATGGCATTCATAAGGTCACAAGCACCAGTCTACTTTCTGTTTTTTATTGCCTGGAAAAAGGCAAATTAGCAGAAGCCTGGCTAGGAGTCAGCCACTGTGGAGTTAAGGTCTTACTTTTTTTTGTTGTTCCCATGCAATTATCTTCAACATTACTCTTTATTTCCTCAAGCAATTTCTTTCTTTTTTTCTTTTTTTAAAAGAAAGAAGAAAAGGAGTGAAGGAGAGGAAGAAAGAGGAAGAAAAAGAGGGAGAGAAAACGGGAATGTAACTTTATTCTAAAAATGCGTATTAATAATGGCCGATCAATATTTTGCGTATTTAAGGTGGAGAATTATATTTTGTGTATTTAAAGTGGAGAGCTCTATAAATATTTATTGAGTTTACTTGTTCTGGATCTGAGTTCAAGTCCTGGATATCCTTATTAATTTTCTGTCTGGTTGAGTCTAAATCTCTTTATGAGTCTTATGTATCTGGGTGTTAGGATCGTTAGCTCTTATTGTTGCATTGATCCTTTTACCACTATATCTTTGTTGCTTTGAAATCTATTTTATCAGATGCGAGAATTGCAACTCCTGCTTTTTACTTATTTATTTTTGCTCTCCATTTGGTTGGTGAATCTTTCTCCATCCCTTTGTTTTAAGTCTTTGTGTATCTTTGGATGTGAAATGGGTCTGGTTGTAGCATACCCTTGGGTTTTGGTTGTATCTTTTGATTGGGGGATTTAGCCGACTTAAATTTAGGGTTACTGCTATTTGATGTTAACTGGCTATTTTATCCATTCGTTGATGTAAATTCTTTATGTTGATGCTCTTTACTTTTTGGTATAGTTTTAGAAAGGCTAATACTGGTTGTTCCTTTCTATGTATAATGCTTCTTTCAGAAGTTCTTGTAAAGCCGGCCTGGTGGTAATAAAATCTCTGAGTACTTGCTTGTTCATAAAAGATTTTATTTTTCCTTTAATTGTAAAGCTTAGTTTGGCAGGATATGAAATTCTGGGCTGAAAGTTCTTTTCTTTAAGGATGTTGAATATTGGCCCCCACTCTCTTCTGGATTGTAGGGTTTCTGCTGAGAGATCTGCTGTAAGTCTAATAGGCTTCCCTTTGTGGGTAACCTGACCTTTCTCTCTGGCTGCCCTTAGTATTTTCTCCTTTGTTTTAACCCTGGTGAATCTAACGATTGGGTGTTTATTCAACTTAATACATTTCTACTGTTTAAACCACCACTCTGTGGTGTTTTGTTATGGCAGCCCAAGCCAACTAATACGATGTATATGCTTGTGCTTTGCTTTCCAAGACCTGTATGCTTCAAACACAGCCAACAAAACATAGGCTGCTATTGGGTTTGGGTGACTGTGTTAGTTCCTGTGGTTGCCGTAACAAATTACTGCAGTTGTCGTGGTTTAAAACAACAGAAATTTATTCTTACAATTGCAGAACCAGAATTCCAAAATCAAGGTGCCAGCAGGGCCACACTCCCTCTGAAGGCTCTAGGGAAGAATCTTTCTTTGCCTCTTCCAGCTTCTGTTGGCTGCAGCGGTTCCTTGGCTTGCAGCTGCACAATTCTAGTCTGTCTCCATCTTTACATGCCTTTTCCTCTTCCCCAGGATGATCACCTCTCCTGTTCTTTAACTTAATTACATCTGCAAAGATGCTTTCTCTAAATTAGATCACATCTGCAGGTTCCAGGGATCAGGATGTAGACGTGTCTTTTTGGGGATCACCATTCAACCTACTATAGATGACTGGATAGCCTAGAAAAAAGAGTGATAAATTATATTTGGAAACAAAACTGGCAAAAGAAAATTCAAAAATGAATTATGTGAGTTTCAGGCCCATCACTGCACACTTTGTCTTCATAAAGACTTCAGCCAATGGAATTTCCATATTGTTGGAAAGAAAATAACTTCAAAGCCACTGAACTGGAAACTTAATATTATATTTTCCACTTAGTGACAGGCTGAATGATAAAGGCTGAAAAGCATATTGTGTTTACACGCAGTTCCCACTTTGCTGCAATTCAACTTTGGCAACTTCCACTCACAGTGTTCAGCCAATTAAACCTCTCTTATCAACTTAGAGTATTTACAGCAGGGAGGCAACACACGATTAACGCTCTATCTGTTAGTCGACGGCCACATGTGCTCAAACGCTCAGCTTCAATCTGTTTCCACAGTTCCTTTTGTATCTAAGGCCTTTTCCCATGGCTTATCAGTCTGTCTCCAAAGCAAGGGAATTGGGGGAAGAGTTGTTGGTCTCCTGGCATAAATGGAGAAGGAGGAAGTAATTATGGAGCCAGGCAAAGCAAAATAATCGTCGCAAACGTATTTCACAATGATTATCAATAGTGCTGTATTAGTATTTGTTGAGTTAAATTATTCCATAGTCACTATAAACAAGGAAGGTCTGGAGAAATTACTAACCTTATAGGTAATTACACTGATGTTAAGGAGTTGAACTACCCTTCCAAGACCATACAGTTTACAAGTGTCACACCAAAATAGTGAGATACTTTGAAAAAGTATCTATGCAGGCATTTTGTAAAAGAGGTAGATTTCTAAAATACTTTAAGCCTATAGCTACCAAAAAGACCCAACCTAAACATGACATTGATTTAGTTGAAATTTGCTAAAAATAAGTTGTTTCTTACAAAAAACGTAGTCCACCTTTGAATACCCTTTAAAATGGAACACACAGTGTTAAGTAAAAATGGCAAGGTCCTGCCAAAATCTATTTGGCAAGTGTCTAGGATGGAAAAACCTAATTTTGTGAGTTGAAACTCAAACGTAACATAGTTTGTGTATAAGACTGACGTCAGCTTAGTCCAAAGAACTTGAGATATTGTGATCTGGAAAAGCCAACAGTGATGAAGAACCAAAGGAAGAGAGATATCTGGGCGGTTTTTACAGGTTCATCCAGGTTGGCTATAGCCAAGCAGCCCAATGCCATTAAGCACGAGATAAGCTGCCACCATGGATCTTCTACTTAAAGGCATCAGAAGACCCAATAACTTGATTAATAGAGAATGTGCTTTGCAAAGAGACTTGAATAAAGACACAAAGGGCATGAAAGAAATATCCCTATAATAATCCTAGAACGTGCTCAAATGTCTCCAACTCTCTTCAACAGTATTTAAAGACTCTCTAAAATTCTTCTCACAGGGAAGTATTCCTCCAGCTTATGATTCCTTGAAGTAATAATTGGGAGAAATTATGAAGAGGAAAACTTGTGCTCAATATTAACATTATACAAATGTAAATAAAATTTAGAACAAGTGACTTCTGCCTCACTTAATAGTCTTATAGAAAGATGCACACTCTGTGGGTAATCCCACTTATAGATGGTTATATACACTGTTCACTAACATTCCTCTAAAAATTGTACAGATTTTTAGAGGAAAATTTTTAACTAGATCGACTGCATTGGTTGTGCATTGTGCAACTCCAGTGAACACCATTCACAGAGACCACAATGTGAATGACACCTCCGGGAAATACAGTGGCCTGACCACAATCCCCTTGTTTCCTATAAGACACATAGCATAGCAACACAGAAATCCCCCTTTTCCCATAACATACCATTTTTGAATTGTCATAGTTATTTACATAAAAATCTCCTCTCGGCACACTTTCTGAAATTAGGTTTATAAGAGTACCGATACATGCAGGCAGACATTTGGATGTTCTTTCTCACTGAAGGATTTTCCCTAACAACTACTGTTCCATCTTTGTTTTTGAGGTTTCATTATCAGACATTTAGTGACTGTTAATCCTATACTTTGTAACATGGAGATTGTTCCCTACTCATTCCTCATTCTTTTTTACTACTTTCTCTAAGGCTCATTGCCTACAAGAAAAAAAAGAAAAAAAAAAAACTAGATTTCTTCAGAGAATATGAACTATTTACACAAATCGCATAAACTTGTTACCTTATTCCTTCAAAAGTCTGAAAAGCATTTTTATTTTCAAATTTTTCCCACCCTGAGTGTTATACTTATGGAGAAGTGTTCTTACTTCCCCAAATGACCACTAAGTTATCCAGGGTATTTATGTGTTATATTAAATCACTGTTACTACAATAATGCTGTAGAAGAAACAACCTCTACCAGGCACAGTGGCTCACGCCAGTAATCCCAGCACTTTGGGAGGCCAAGGCCAGGAGATCCGGAGAGCCTGGCCAACATGATGAAACGTCATCTTTACTAAAAATACAAAAATTAGCCAGGCGTGGCAGCATGCACCTGTAGTCCCAGCTACTCAGGAGGCCGAGGCGGAAGAATGGCCTAAATCTGGGAGGCTGAGGCTGCAATGAGCTGAGATTGTGCCACTGCACTCCAGCCTGCACAACAGAGTGAGACTCCATCTCAAAAAAAAAAAAAAAAAAAAGAACCTCAAAATCTCTGTGGTCTACAATAACATTTAATTTTCTCTCATTGGTCTGTGAAACAGCCGGCGGGGGCAGTTCTGCTTCAGGCTGTGGGTCAGAGTCAGGTCTCCTCATTCTGGGACCAGCAGCTTCACCTGGGCATGTCCTTTTCATGACAGGTGGCAGACACACAGGGCAAACCAAACAAGCAAGTGCACCGAAAGCCTCTGAGTGGACTCGTTTTCTGTCTAAGATCATGGGCCAAAACAAGTTGACAATAGTGGGGTGGAGAAGTACACTCCGCCTCAAAAGGGAGCTACTGCAATGTCAAATAGCAAAGGCCTCCTGAGCCAGAAACAAGTGTGAACAATAATCCAATTCATACTATACGGAAATCTCAAATCCATCCTCTGTCCTTTACAGGAGTTGAAATTGATTGGACTGGATATCCCACACTTTGCCGCAGATCTTCCACTGAATCGATGTAAAAACCGTTACACAAACATCCTACCATGTAAGATGGTCAATTGTGCCAATCCTACTCACGTCTTTTAAGGGTTGAAAGTCTGTTATTGCCAATTAATCAACTTCTGACCACACCCAGTTGTGGTCTAGATCTCAAGGCCATCTCTGAGATTGCATTGATCTCACTCTGATGTCTTTAGATCGTATCATATGGAGAAGGATTTAATTACTGTGCTTTTAAATGAATTGCATCTGAACAGAAAGGCTGACCATTTGGCCCTTTGGAGATTAAAGAGCCATAGTCACATTGGCCATTAGATAATGCGTACTCTCATAAAATATTTTCAACCAATTCATTGATAACAGAAAGAGGCAAATCAAAAGGCAATGCAATGCATTAAAATGCCTTCTCTAACTTCTGACAAGTTATATAGTTGCTTAGCATTTTGTAATAAAAAGCAACATTCAGGAAGAAAAGGTAATGTGAAGTCCTTACAAGACTATTAAAATAGATTCCAGTATAGATTTCACTTTTCTCTCTGCTACACTCTCGGGAGCTGGGCACAAATGGAAAAGTGAGAAGAGGAAGGCTGAAAAAGCTCTAGAAAGAGAAGTCTCCTCCTGTTATGGTGTCTTGATGAAATCAGATGAAATTAGAGAATATAATTCTCTGTAAGCCCTGGTTGCTGAAACTGCTGTTAGTAACTTGAAACCAATGTTAAGCAGTAGCAACTACCCAGCTCAGAAATTATTTCTTTCATTTAATGTCCACCTACAAAGGAAACCCACACTTCTTCTCTTCTCTAGTCTCCCCAAAGTAGTGAACTCTCTGCATATCTCTAGGTGAAATGAAAATCGTGTGTTTAGGCTACATGCTATAGCTGTTCGATCAATCTCACAGACATTTTAGTTCCTGTAAATATTCTGCATGACCCCTAAACAATCCTGGAAACAATTCTTTCAAGGACAAGACAGCTGGCCATGAAAAAAAAAATAGTGGTTGGAAGATATTCACTTATTTATTTAAACAACAAACTAAGGTTAAATAATGGTTAAAAAATCAGGCTAAAAATTATTACTCTGTTACTGACTTTTTTAACTTAATATTGGGTAGAGAAGGCCAAAATAATTCTTTTTTCCATCCTGAATTTTAATATTTTTTTCTCCTTCTTCTCTACAGATGACTTCAGCCGCGTGAGATTAATCTCCATGAACGAAGAGGAAGGTGCAGATTACATCAATGCCAACTACATTCCTGTAAGTAGAAAACAATCAGGCATCCCAGTGCTGACCCAGCCACAGAAAGACTGCAGGGCTCTAGGGACGTGCCAAACAGTTCGAAAGAAAGCAGCCATTCCCAACCCAGCAATCGAATTCTAAAAGGCTTGCGTTACTCCATTTCATGATAAAGAACAGGAAAAAAAGCCCGTAGATTAGTAATGTTCCTATTTCTTTATAAAGGACCAGTGAAAGGGAGAGTAGAAAGGCTAAAGATCACCTTTCTTGTGTTTAAATTTCAGTTTCAGCAACCAAATTCAAAGGGTTCCACTCGAGCACCTGCACGTTTAAAAGATAAAGATAGTCATTACTGTCATAAAAAGGTGTGGATGTGATTTTTATAGCCTTTGGAAGAACCATTCTTAAAATCACACAGACTAATTTCGGTCAGTTACTCCGATAGCCTCTTTGATGAAAAATGGAGAAAACGTTACATAAGCGTGTGATCCTTTGCCAATTTTATCACCGGTAAATTTTCGGTTTTTTTCCCACAGGTGTGGAGCAGCATTTGGTGTTGACAGTGGCTGGTTAGGTGATAATTTTGTCACTTATCTTTCAGGGATACAACTCACCCCAGGAGTATATTGCCACCCAGGGGCCGCTGCCTGAAACCAGAAATGACTTCTGGAACATGGTCCAGCAACAGAAGTCTCAGATTATTGTCATGCTCACCCAGTGTAACGAGAAAAGGAGGGTATGTGCTTACTGAAGCTGTTTGTGCTCAGCAGCAAAACCTGCCGCGGCCACTGACGTTGATGAAGGGCTTGCTGTCTGCAAAGTCAAACGAAACATAGAGAAAAATCACTAAATTTAAAACATTTTATTCGGGAAGCAAGAATTAGAATTTGGGGGCAAACACACAGGCCCAGTGGTCTTTGCAAAGTCCAGAGGAAAAAAGAGAAGGTTGGACGTCTTCTAAAAAGGATGAATATTGCATATTATTTTGCAGGAAAGTTCATTAGCATTAGTAAAGTTTTGGGGAGCGGCAAGCTCTGATTGGTGAGTGGTGGCAGTGGGAAAACTAGTCTCAGAATCGCAGCAGGTTGCTTCAGTTGCTATTAGATAACACTGATTTCAAGTTACTAACAGCAGTTTCAGCAACCAGCGCTTACAGAGAATTACATTCCTGGAGCAATGTTATGCGTTCTGAGTGCTTTTTTGTTTGTTTGTTTGTTTGTTTGTTTTTGAGACAGAGTCTCTCTCTGTCGCCCAGGCTGGAGTGCAGTGGCGGGATCTCAGCTCACTGCAACCTCCACTTCTCAGGTTCAAGCGATTCTCCTGCCTCAGCCTCCCCAGTGACTGGGGCGTTCCGAGTACTGTATCCCCTGACCGCTCAGCTCTGTCTCCGTTAGGTATGATGAGAAAGGCCGAAGTCATGTGATAAGAATTCACACTATGTAGCAAAACCGATGGTATTTGCTTTCTGTTTCATCTTTGCAACGGTCCTATCTAATCTTTCAGAGGCGAATACCTTTGTGTTCCCTAAGTGAGCTCAGACTTAATTTCTTCCCTAGTCTGTTTAAAAAACAAAAAATGCTTTGCCCTTGCTCCAGGTGAAATGTGACCATTACTGGCCATTCACAGAAGAACCTATAGCTTACGGAGACATCACCGTGGAGATGATTTCAGAGGAAGAGCGGGACGACTGGGCCTGTAGACACTTCCGGATCAACTATGTAAGTCACCAGGCAGAGAGCGGTGCTGTCCGTATACTGACACCGACACCACTGCCCGGCAGGTGCTGGGAGCCCCAGCCAAGGAGCACTTTGGCCTTGGCAATGCTGCTCTCTTCAGAAGGAAAAATCAACTCTCAGTGTCATTGTTTCCCATTTCATCAGTGATGGTGTGGATGATCTGGTTAGTCTGGAGAGCCTGAGAGGATAGAGTAAGAAGTGCACTAGTTCATCTCGAATTAGCTCAGGAGCATAGAAGACTATTAATCATTGCCTATCAGGCATCATTGAGGACAGAAGTGTTCTCGTTACTTATGCTAATCATATATGAGTATAATTAGGGTCTATAAGGCGTACTTACATTTTAAATTAAATGATTAAACCATGATTTAGTAGTTTGGGTTTTGTTTGTTTTTTTTTTTTTCTTATTTTGTTCTGGTTTGGTTTTCATTATTTGGAAGGTACTTCTAGGTCTTATTAATCATAATTCCCTATTTCTCTTGAATGGCTATTGATTTCTGATTGATAACATGTCCAGAAAAGTCTGTTTTTCTCACAAGGCCTGTCACCTTTCTGCTGACAAGTCTCTGAGCAAATGCTCAATATTTCTGTGCCAGGCTAACATCAACCAAAGTCAAGCCATTGACTTCAGCCTATAGAATATAGAGGAGTTTTTACTCTTAATAGTCTTCTCCACTTGAACGTGCTCCCTATGAAGACAAAATTGAATAGGAAAATTCTCATTGACATGTTCTTCCTTGCTTAGAAACAATCCTAATAGTTAAGGAGATAAGAAATTGCAACCTATTGACCAACTTTACCTACTGCCTGTTGTCTAAAGTCCAGGAGCTAAGAATGGTTTTGACATTTTTTAATGGCTGAAAAAATCGACTGAGCACCGTGGTTCACACCTGGAATCCAGCACTTTGAGAGGCTGAGGCAAACGGATTACTTTAGCCCAGGATTTCAAGATCAGCCTAAGCAATACAGGGAGACCCCATCGTACTAAAAATAGAAAAATTAGCTGGCTTGGTGGCACACACCTGTAGTCCCAGCTACTCGAGAGGCTGAGGTGGGAGAATCACTTGAGCCCAGTGGGTAGCAGTTGCAGTGAGCCAAGATTGTGCCACTACACTTCAGCCTGGGCAACGAGAGCAAGACTCTGTCTCAAAAAAAAAAAAAAAAAAAAAAAAAAAAAAAAACAAGAAAAATAGTATGAAATACCATATGAAAATAATATGAAATACTGTATGTCTATAGTACACACTATTTCGTACTATTTATATGAAATACCCTATGTAAATTCTGTGAAATTCAAATTTCAATGTCCATATATAATATTTTATTAGAACACAGGCTGCATTTGCTTGCAAATAATCTCTGACTGCTTTTGTGCTACATCAAGCTTGAGTAGTTGCAATCAAAACGACATGATTTGCAAAAAAACTACAATACTTGCTAACTGTCCCTTTGCAGAAAATGTTTGCTGACCCTCAAAACACACCAGGGAAACAAAGATTGCCCATATCAGTACAACGTAAGAACCTGATACTATCTATTTATTCATATGTACGAGAGATAAATCAATTCTTTTTTTTTTTTTTTTTTTGGAGATGGAGTCTTGCTCTTTTGCCCAGGCTGGAGTGCAGTGGTGCAATCTCAGTTCACTGCAACCTCTGCCTCCTGGGTTGAAGCAATTCTCTTGCCTCAGCCTCCCAGGTAGCTAGGATTCTAGGCGCCTACCACCACGCCCGGCTAATTTTTGTATTTTTAGTAGAGACAGGCTTTAGCCGTGTTGGCCAGGCTGGTCTGGAACTCCTGACCTCGTGATCCTCCTGCCTCCCAAAGTGCTAGGATTACAGGTGTGAACCCCTGCGCCCAGGCAATAAATCACTTCTTAACTGGCAGTTAACAATGTCTTTTGCCACCAGGAGAATTTAGGCAAATCCCTGTCCGGCTCTAACAGACTGTGTTTCATGTCGTTTCAGTCATTTGAAATTCACCTTGCTTCCACATTAAGCACGCGTTTCTGCTCAAATGCAGAGTTTCAGCTTAAGTGTCACCTGTTTTGTGGCATCTTCTCTGGGCTTGGACACCATTAACACTTTCCTTTGCTGGGGCAGAAACTCAGTAAACTGCTCTATCACAGCACATCGTAGCAGTGACAATTCTCACTCCTCGTTTCTGCCTCCCCGATACACTGTGAGTTTCAGAAGCAACTGCTCTATCCTTGTGGAATGAATAAATCAGTAAATGAACGAGTTATTTCAAAAATAATAAGGCACTCGTAAAGCATCAACAGACTTTCCATCAGAGAAAATATTTGTCAACCCGAATGCCGTTTGAACTCTGCTTTCGTTCTTAGCTATTTCCATGGAGAAGCCAGCACAAATTGCTAAACAAATACAGTACAAATCTGTCCCTAGGTTTGCATGTAGGAGAGAACATTTCAGAGCACAAAATAGGGTCTGTTCCACTGCCGATTCTGTTGGCAAGGAGGAGTCACACAGATTATTGCATGGTCAGTACTATGCTTCTTGTCCTTGGTCTTAAATGACGACCTATCTTTCGATGACAATCATGTGAAGGATTTGAAAACTAGGAATAAAACATTGAACCGCAGTGTTTGCTTGGAAGGCATTCGTCTGTTACAAGCATCTGGTACCAGAGTGCCCCCTTTTGGCCGTAAGGATACCGAAGCTAAATGTTAAGTTCCTAAAATGAAAGCTCAGTTGCCCGAAAAGCACTGTGCTGTGCTAATAAACACGTTTTACAGTTAGTTTCGTTTTTTGTTTATACCCTTCTTTATCCATTCCATATTGATATGCAGAAGCTTTCCAATTACAAAAAGGATAAAATTACATAAATAAGGAAATCAAGGTAAGAGAAATTTGGGATTAGCTAAGTAAGAGAAAACCAGAAAAGTTTTCTCATTTAACAGGAAAGGAGAAAAATGACCATAACACACAACTTGTCACTTTCTACTACTTGAAACTTGGCATGGCCTGTGTGAGAGCTGGAGAGTAAAGATCATCAAAAACATTTTTGTTGCCAGGAAACTCATGCCTTGCTATTCAGCTCACAGGCTGACCGCGGTTCCAGGACCCCTGCCTTGTAGCTGCGGAGCAACTAACTAAAATTTAATAATTTCCTGATTTTAAATCACCTTGCAGTTTTTAGCCAAATACATTTTCACTTCAAGGTTGAAAGTGAAAATGTAAATGGTTGAAGTGAAAATGTATTTCGGCTAAAAAAATATATATACACACACACACACACATATATATACACACACATATATATATACACACACATATATACACACACACAAATATATACACATACACATATATACACACACACACATATATATACACACACATATATACACACACATATATACACACACAAATATATACACATACACATATATATACACACACACACATATATACACACACATATATACACACACAAATATATACACATACACATATATACACACACACATATATATACACACATATATATACACACATATATACACACACACAAATATATACACATACACATATATATACACACACATATATACACACATATATACACACACACAAATATATACACATACACATATATATACACACATATATACACACACACAAATATATACACATACACATATATATACACACACATATATACACACACATATATACACACACAAATATATACACATACACATATATATACACACACATATATACACACACACAAATATATACACATACACATATATATACACACACATATATACACACACATACATACACACATGCACACATATATATACACACACACAAATATATACACATACACATATATATACACACATATATACACACATACACACACATACATACACGCACACACACATATACATACACACACATATATACACACACAAATATATACACATATACATATATATACACATATACATATATATACACACACATATATACACACACACAAATATATACACATACACATATATATACACACATATATACACACATACACACACATACATACACGCACACACACATATATATATACACACATATACACATATATATGCATACACACATATATATACACATATATAAATACACATACACACATACACATGTGCACACTCATGCACATACATACATACACACATACACACACTATACACACATGTATACACATACACATATATACACACATATATACATACAAACTCACATATATATACACCCACACACATATATATACATGCACACTCACACATATATACACCCACACACATATATATATACATACACACACGTATATATACACATAAACACACACACATATATATATTGGCTACAATGTACACAAGTTATACAAATTATGATCGGCATTTGAACAGGACGAGCATTCTCCTGAACTTTCCTGGCAACCAAAGTTATCTGGTGGCTGGGTATTCTCAAATCCTCATGATGTTGAATAAGTAAATTATCCTGTGCAATTCACTATGCCCAAGATACTTTCTCAACATACTTCCTGAAGGCAGCACTGAGGGTAGCCAGTATCTTTGTAGACTTCATGCTCTCTGTGTCTCAGCCAGAGCCCTTGAACATAGCAGGGGAGGTGCTGCACACTGCTGGGGATACATTAGGTGCCAAGGGTACAACGGGTGGAGGGGAGGTGACAACTCATGTATATTTAAGCAGATCTTATATATTTCTTTGTACATTTTATTTACGTATTGTCTTTATACATTGATTTTCTGCCCAAGACCACTGACTCTTCGAAATTCATTTCTCTTTTAATACCTGAACTTAAACTTTAACTCAAAACTGACAGCGAGGCCAAGTTTCCCTCCTTCCCAATTATGATATATATTCCATTCTCTGAGTGAATTCTAGGCTCTTTGCGAATTTGAGGAATGAGAGATGAATCAGACCTTTATGAAGCCTGGGTTTGGGATATTTCTGACAGTTGCTGACACATGGAGAATACATCATGCTTACAAATTCGTTGGGACTAAAAATAGTTGATCTGGAAAGATCCACATTTTAGTTAATATGTAGTCCGTTCAAAGGGACCAGCAATATATTTGATGCATGGGACAACAGGAATAGGATTAATACACAAGCTATACTCACTTGCTTGGATTCCCAGAACCAGCCATACAATGCACAGAGCTGGATGACAGTGAGTGATAGTAATGAGGTACTAGTAGGTAATGATAATCACAAATGTGATTACACTTAATCCACACAACTCCTGTTGTAAGTGTCATTGGGCCATTTTTGGATATGAGAAAACTGAAGTTCAGTGAGTCAGGTCTTCTAGTATCAAAGCCCGAGACAAGGGTTCTCATATGAGTGATTTTGTGGAAGTGCATTCTTGGGGAAGCCCCACAGGGAGCAAGGGAAGCAGACTGACAGAGAAGAAGCCACTCAGAGCATTCAGCTGAAGTCTCCCCTGTGCTGGATCCCACAGACAGTGCTGGGGCATGAACAGCACCATGGCATTGTCTCACTCTGAAAGAGGCTGGATTTTTGCACCCCACGGTTAGTCAATCATTAGCTGTGGGCTGCCCTCAGCAGGAGAAAGCAACCTCTTAGGCATTTTCCATCGAGGCAGCTCCATGCAGTAGAAGGCAACTATCAAAAGAAGGGTACTGCTATGCTGTTATCAGCAACGGGGAAAAGTGTGCCCCAGGATGGCAGAGGGTATCCAAAGGGCACCAACAGCACTTTCTACAGTGTTTAATTCATTAGCCAAAGCTGACGCAGCTTCTAAATGACGGAGCCAAGATGCAAATCCTAATCTGCTTACGCTTTTGTCCTTAATTACGCAGGTACAGATTAGCCTACTTATCCTACTCTCTGAAGCTTTGTACAATTCGTGTGGTTTTTTTTTTCAGTACCTGTTTTACGGTGCTCAAAGATATGGTGCTCAAAGCCGGAAAGGAAGGTGTCCTGACTGGGAGTGGAGCATGGCTCTACCTTCTTGCGTGACTAACCTGGGATCCCCAGTGGAGTCCTGGGCCATCCTAACAGTGAACTGAAAAGTTAAAGCTTGGTTTTGACTCTTTTCCCTAAAGGCTGACGAGATGCAGGATGTGATGCATTTCAACTACACCGCATGGCCTGATCACGGTGTGCCCACAGCAAATGCTGCAGAGAGTATCCTGCAGTTTGTACACATGGTCCGACAGCAAGCTACCAAGAGCAAAGGTCCCATGATCATTCACTGCAGGTAACGTCCTCAGCTGTGTTCTCTATTAAAAATTAGAGGCTGGTTTTATAAGGGGAATAGTTCACCATTCCATAAGCCCCTGATCAGATGTAATTGAAAATTAAATAATGAATTCTGATATTTTAAACTATGATTAATTGATATCTTACCATACACAATATTTATTATGGCTATCTCATGTCTACACCCTATAAGATAGATGTTATTATTCCCATTTTTTTTTTTTTTTTGAGGCAGAGTTTCACTATTGTCACCCAGACTGAAGTGCAATGACACAATCTCGGCTCACTGCAACCTCCGCCTTCTGGGTTCAAGCAATTCTCCTGCCTCAGCCTCCTGAGTAGCTGGGATTACAGGCACGTGCCACCATGCCCAGCTAATTTTTATATTTTTAGTAGAGATGGGGTTTCACCTTGTTGATCAGGATGGTCTTGATCTCTTGACCTCGTGATTCACCCGCCTCGGCCTCCCAAAGTGCTGGGATTACAGGCTTGAGCCACCGCGCCCGGCCATTATTCCCATTTTTAAATGAAAAATGTAAAGAAAGGTAAAGATGGTAAGGGATTCACACAACTGCCTGCAAGTAGAACACGGAGGAGACAGTATTCAAACCCAGGCCTGCGAATCTATGACGATCGTGCTCTTAGTGTGTGATATTATCCTGCCCCATCAAGGATTCTGAGTAGTTACAACATGGACAAATAGTAGGTCAAACTATAGAAAGCTGGTCACAGCTCGGCACAATATAAATAAACCTAAAAACAATTGGGAGGCCGAGGCGGGTGGATCATGAGGTCAAGAGATCAAGACCATCCTGGTCAACATGGTGAAACCCCGTCTCTACTAAAAATACAAAAAATTAGCTGGGCACAGTGGCGCGTGCCTGTAATCCCAGCTACTCAGGAGGCTGAGGCAGGAGAATTGCCTGAACCCAGGAGGCAGAGGTTGCAGTGAGCCGAGATCGTGCCATTGCACTCCAGCCTGGGTAACAAGAGTGAAACTCCATCTCAAAAAAAAACAAGAAAATGGGCCGAGCACAGTGGCTCGTGCCTGTAATCCCAGCACTTTGGGAGGCCGAGGCAGGCGGATCACAAGGGCAGGAGTTCGAGACCAGCCTGGCCAACATGGCAAAACCCTGTCTCTACTAAAAATACAAAAATTAGCCAGGCATGGTGATGCATACCTGTAGTCCCAGCTACTCAGGAGGCTGAGGCAGGAGAATCGCTTGAATCCAGGAGGCGGAGGTTGCAGTGAGCCGAGACCGTGCCACTGCACTCCAGCCTGGATGACAGAGCAAGACTGCATAAAAAAAATAATAATAAAAATAAAAAGAAGAAAAGAAAAAGGAAAAACGAAAATATTCAGCCAAAGAAGATAAACATGTTTGCTACGGTTCTTCCTCAGCATTGTCTCTAAATTTTTAGACAGTAGAATGAAAGAGGATATAGAATATTAAAAAATCAAGGTCCACACTAATTCCCAACAGGAACCGTTATCATCAAAGTTAATTTGTTCTTCCTACTATATGAACGGGGCTGCCTCAAAGTCCATCTCTGTGGTATGATATGACTGTAAAATCCTTATGCAGCCTCAAAAGACTGAGGGACATAAGCATCCTCCAGTGGCCTGTGAGAGGTGGCAGTGGGATGGAGATGTGAAGGCAAGCACTGGCAGCCATGCCGATCTGAGCAAATAAATCTATAATCTCAGAGCTGCCGCCTTGGCCACGGTGAATTAGAAGGGCTAGAATGCGGATGTACGTGTGTGCATTCACGTGCATTTCTGTGGAGTGTGTGCCTCCCCGGAAAGGAAAATGCCTCATCAGCTACGAAGTGTCGTTTAGGGCAGATCTCATTGCTATCAATCCACTGTAGCATTTACAGGTTAAAAGATTGCTATAGCAGATAAGATGATCTGTTCTCAAAACAGTTCTTTCCAAGAGCAGAAAATGAAGCTGTTCAACTCTGGGGTCAAACTCACAGATCCTTAAACGGATGTTAGTGAGGGCAGTTCCGCATATGACTTTACAGCTGCTCACCCAATGGCAGATCATTTTATCTAAGAAATCCCAGGAGGAAAGAGTTGTCTAGTAGAAAAAGCAACCTTGAACTCCAGGTTTAGAGAGTGGGATTTTTCTAGCAAACTTATTATGTAAATTGGCTTGAACTTTCTCTTTTCCAGTAATTTCATAGTAATTTGAAGTTTAGAGCCATTTGGCTTTTTGTAGAGGATTGGAATAAAAGAGCTGACTTTAACACAGAGTTAGGGATTGTGGTGGGCAGTTGGCCAGCGCCTGTCAGTCCACTTCCACCTGTGCTCTGAGTACTGGGATTTGGGGACTGGCTGAGACTGGGTCCAAATATTTCATTTGGTTTTAAGGCAACTGTCTCAAAGGTCTCTGGGAGATGGGAGTGGGCCCAGGACCCACTAAAGGGCAGGAGCACTGGAAGGCAGGTAGGTCTGGAATGGTGAACTGAACTTAGGGTTGAAGGTAAACAAATCTCTGTGGCCCCAGAGCTAGAGTTAGGGTGTGGACATCTCAACTAGACTTTTGAGCAGGTCTGAGGGCTTAACTCTGAGGCTGCTCAAAAGACAGGGCATTGTGTACATGTATCAGCTCTCTGAAGGCAGAAACCAACTCTCCAGAGTACTCAACATGGAATCACTACCCTTCTCCAGAAGCAGAGACCCTGAATAAGTGTGTGGCCAGTGCAGTGCAAATCTCTCTCGGGAAGGTAGCCACGCCAGTCAGAAGTATGACATTAGAAGGAACACCAACCACAACTGCAGACTTCAAAATCAGTTACGTGGAAAGTATTGTCAGGAGCTTAGTCTTCTTTTTTTCCACAACGATGCTGTCTGTAGTTTTTTAGAAATCACCAGTTGTATTTCAACAGTGAAGAAGCGCCATCTGAATAACGTGCCTTGGGGACCTTCTTCCGCAGTGCTGGAGTGGGACGGACGGGGACATTCATTGCCCTGGACAGGCTCATGCAGCACATTCGGGATCACGAGTTTGTCGACATCTTAGGGCTGGTGTCAGAAATGAGGTCGTACCGGATGTCTATGGTACAGACAGAGGTAGGAGCATAATCTATATGTATTTTTAAATTTTCCCTGGGCTGCAAAACTTATTATCATTCAATGACGTGCTTCAAAACAATTCTCTCAAATTTCTTCGTATCTGTCTTTCCCATTTTCTTATTGTATATGTTCACGCTGCTTTGAGGTATGAAAGAAACACAGTGGCCTCCAGAAATGCGTTTGGTGTATAGTGATTACGCTTTTATTGGCATCGTAATTCAGAGTGCATGGGTGGATTTCTAAGACTAGAGTCAATTGCAGATAACAGTCATCCTGGGTAAATGCCACCAAATAGGGACTGTAGAACGGGTGCAGTTTAATTTAGATTTGAAATGTTGATTGGATTCGATACATTGTTCATTAGTTTACCCTCCACGTGGCTCTATCCCAATTCACTTTTGATGATGACTAGGAGTTGGATTTGAGCTTTCTGTCCCTTTATGATTTTAAGGATTCCCAGTCCCCAACCTACCAGCATTGCCAGTTCCCTTCATCTCAGTGATGAAGATTTATTATTTTAACAACATGGAAGCACCCCCTGAAAGAGACAACACTGTTGTGTGCTCCGTCTTCCTCCTGTTTTCCCGACTCCTCCCTCCCCGAAAGCTGAGGATGCACTCAGTCTGGAGTAGCAGCCCAGGGCCCGCAGGCAGACGGCACGGCCTGCCTCGGAGCAGCCGTGGGTGTGTACCTGTGTGGGCGCAGTAACCCAAGTACAACGGCCTGTTCATAAGCTTCATCACCCAGCCATACTCGCGACTTTTAGCTTCAGTTTTACAATAATTCTTTTTCTCAGAGAGTGTGTGTGGGTGGAACCCTTGAGTCGAACACAACCTGCCCTGACCTGTTACTAGGGTATTTTTTAAACGCCTTGGTCTTCCTCATGCTTTTCCCAGCCAGCACCACTAGATGTCAGCATCACGTCAAAAGCCTGGAGGAATGGCCGCCGTCTCAGCTCTGTTTCTGCTTTCCCACGCTTTTTATTTTTCTTTCCTCCTAGCTCCCCATTCTCATCTGACCCATTTTTGGCAAGGCTGTTTCAACACATTCATTTCTGAGCAACAGCAGGATCATACCACTTGGGAAAGAGTAATCCCTGTTACTATTCGGACCTTTCATTGATAATTAGAAGCAAGCCCAACTGATGGCCTCACTTTCTTGGTTTCAATCGCTGCCTGGTAATTTAGCGTTGTGGGGACATCAATGTCACTTTTTAATCATAAGCTTAAAATGTAATTTAGTGTGCACTTTTTAATCATCATAAGCTTAAAATGTCTGGCTTCCCAGAGAAGTCCACTATCTTGTGAGTAAACGGTGGTTGATTGATCAGTGATTTTTTTTTTTTTTTTTTTGAGACGGAGTTTCACTCTTGTTACCCAGGCTGGAGTGCAATGGGGCGATCTCGGCTCACCCCAACCTCCGCCTCCTGGGTTCAGGCAATTCTCCTGCCTCAGCCTCCTGAGTAGCTGGGATTACAGGCACGTGCCACCATGCCCAGCTAATTTTTTGTATTTTTCGTAGAGACGGGGTTTCACCATGTTGACCAGGATGGTCTCGATCTCTTGACCTCGTGATCCACCCGCCTCGGCCTCCCAAAGTGCTGGGATTACAGGCTTGAGCCACCGCGCCCGGCCGATCAGTGATTTATTGATAAGCCCATATTTTGGCTTTCACTTCCATAAATTTGCACCCTGATATGTGATTAAAACTCCCTGTTTTGTATATGAATTTCCAAGCTTCAAAAAGCCACACCTTATTTTAAGTATTTTTTTTTTAATGAACTGTCTTCCCAATTTACTTAATTCATACCTTTTAAAACTTCGTAGATTTGGGGGCCGGATGCGGTGGCGGGCGCCTGAAATCCCAGCTACTCGGGAAGCTTAGGCAGGAGAATTGCTTGAACCCAGGAGACGGAGGTTGCAGTGAGCCACTACGGTGCCACTGCCCTCCAGCCTGGGCAACAGAGTGAGACTCCATTTCAAAAAAGAAAGAAAAAATTCATAGACTTTAATTATGGCATGTTTGCTTTTGACTTTTCCCAACTACAGATTCTTAATCTCTTTCCCAGGACAGATGCTCCATCCCATTGTCAGGGCCATTATCTCTCTTTGGGGTGGTAATCGAGCAGCCACCATGTTGCTTTCTGCAAAGCCAAGAAAACATTTTGTTTTCTCCCTAAATGTTTTCCCTTAAATTTTAGTTGCTGGATTAGTTTATGGCAGCATTTTAAGTTGATATTCTATGGACACCGCCTTTTTAAAGCACAATATCCCCACCCTGGTCAACATGGTGAATGGAAACCCCCAGTAAAAATACAAAAATTTGCTGGGCGTGGTGATGCACGGTGGTGCATGTCTATAGTCTCAGTGACTCAGGAGGCTGAGGCAGGATAATCGCAAGAACCTGGGAGGCGGAGGTTGCACTCCAGCCTGGTAACAGAGCAAGCCTCTATCTCAAAAATAAATAAATGAATAAATTTTTAAAAATAAAGTACAGAAACTCCCTGAACTCTCATGGCGAGTTCAAAGTCAGCAAAGGGGCAAAGGTCCCCCGGGTTACTTATTTTTTCCAACTTTTCTAGCTTGACCCTTGATTCTCTCAGGACCTCGTGTTGGATGTTTTCCAGTTCTGTCTGTTGTGTGTGTGTTGTTTTTGTTTTAACTTATGTCTAGAACATCTTGTTCGTTTATCTTTATTTTTCCCTTGTTTCTCTCTGCTTACCATGGTTCTTCCTGTATTTGGAATACAGATTGTTCTGCCTGAGATTCTCCTTAAGTCCATTCACATTCAAATTCTGCTGCCAGGTCACAAGAGTTAACAAGTGAAGAACAAAGTTAAAAAAAAATTAAACTTATTCTCTTTACATGTATTATCCTACAGTATCCCTTTGACACTAATGATTTTCAAGAGGATGAAATGATTTCCTCATTGAGCTCTGTTTTTATGTATATAATCAACTCACGAAGACCTTATTTCCTCCCTACATTGGTGTCTAATTTTCCAGCCATCGCTACATTGCCTTGATTCCACCTCACCCAAAAAATTGCAGAAGTAGCTGCAATTTATGCAGCCATGTCTCCAGGTGCATATATCAGGGTCATTGCAACATGCTGCTCAGACTGCACTGTGACCTGCCCTCTTCCTCTTCCTCACCTGACCAGACACACTTCATGGGCTTCTCCACACGTAGAGGCATATTTAGAAAGAATGCCAGACCCTGGGGGAGGCCTGGGTCTCCACTTTACTGCTGCACAAGTCGTGTCACCTCTCAAAGCTTCCATTTCTCTTCTGCAAAATATGAACGATAACTTTCACTAATTTTTTGTAAAGCAGACATGATAGGAAATGATGCAACCTAGATAAGTGCTTTGAAACTGTGAAGTGCTACCTGTGAATGATGTTCTCCTCTCTTCTATTTGAATTGAATATTTTGTTTGATTTTCCTCTAATATCCTTCCCTGCAGGTCAGTTGGGGCTTTGCTTTTTTTTTTGAGACAGAGTCTCGCTCTGTCGCCAGGTGCCAGGCTGGAAGTGCAGTGGTGCAATCTCGGCTCATTGCAACCTCTGCCTCCTGGGTTCAAGGAATTCTCCTGCCTCAGCCTCCCGAGTAGCTGAGACTACAGGCATGCGCAACCACGCCCAGCTAATTTTTGCATTTTAGTAGAGATGGAGTTTCACTGTGTTGGCCAGGATGGTCTCCATCTCTTGATCTCGTGATCCACCCGCCTCCCAAAGTGCTGGGATTACAAGCGTGAGCCAGTGCGCCCAGCCAGGCCTCTGCTTTGAGCAGCCTATCCTCCTGATCTGCAGCTTGGATTTCTCAGCGACTTTCCAAGACAAGCCCCTCCATGAATAGTCTTTTTTTACTTTTCTTGTGGTGTTTTTGTCTGGTTGTTTTCAGTTTTGATACAAAATGTAGCCACTAAGTAGATGCAAATTGAAAGTCCAGGCAGTCTCTGGTCTTATCCATTCCTAGTGTTGACATAACACCAGAAACAATGGATTAGGTGTCCTCAAGGGATACTTCAGCCACTGACAGGATACCATCTCCACAAAAGAGAATGTATTTTCTCCAAACCTAGTGTTGAAAAATACAGGTTAGGCTGAGGTAACAGTCCAGTGATGTTTGAGGTATTAATTTTATTTTTTGTAGGAAGTTGTTACAAAAGAGGCTTCTTAAAATCCTGTGGATATCTTGACTGGATCTTCTTTAAATGTTATTTCTAGTACTATTACTTATAGAGAAACTCTGGGAAATAAAGCGAAAGAGGAACTACTGTGAAATTACCCTTACTTCTTGGCAGAAAGATGTATTTTGGTGATTTCATCTTGGTTTTCATTCAAGTATAACTTTTACATGATTGTGCTCATATTATATGTATATATGTATATGTATGTATATATGTATTAATTTGCATCCTAGTTACATTCTAGTTTCTCACTTAGCATTTTATTGTGTAGCATGTATAGTAACACAAGTTGCCTAAAATTCAATAAAGCTCATTTTAAGGACTAATGTTTCATTATAGATGCACCACTGCATACTTAAACCAATCTCCTTTTTATAGAACATGAAATTGGATTATTTCCCACTTTTTACTATTATCTGTGCCCACGCCATTTATTAGCACTTTATGAATTATACCACCACCCACAGCAGGTGAAATGGACCGTCTCAACAAACTTGTCATCATTAAACATTTTTTTCCTTTTAGCTTTGTCCACTACATAGATAGAAAATAATTGTTTTAATTTACTTTTTATTATTTGACTATTTTTGGCATATTTTAGTATTTCCTCAGTTTACTTCAAAAATCATTTAACAGGCAAGCACAAGCTAAGTCGTAGGCATCAGGAATAAAAAGACAGTCCCTAACGTCCAGGGAATATTTGGCCTAGCGCTTGATGTCCTTTATTTATTTGTCTATTTGTACATGTTACTAATTTGGATGACTTTATCACAAAAATAAAGGTATCAATTTTCTGTCATAATTCTAGAAAATACTTTTCTCTCCCTGTTTCTGGTTTACCCTATGTTTTTATTCTTTTACCTTTTTTAATATGTAATAGATTGAGATTTTTATTTATAATTTATTCCACTGCTCTTAATTTTAGAAATTCCTTTCCTAAAGTAAACAGAGAGAAATTAAACAATATTTTCCTCTATATTTTTAATGACGATTTATTAAACTACCTAGAATTGACTTTAGTGTCTGATGAAGAGATATTCTTTTTTCTTTTTTCTTCAAAATAGCCCCATGATTTCGATGGAATATTCATTTCCCTTAGCATTAAGTAATAATAATCTAATGTACAGCATGGTGAACATAGTTCATAGTATTGTACTGTATACTTGTAGCCTTGAAATTTGCTAGGCAAGTAGATCTTTTTTTTTTTTTTTTTTTTTTTTTTTGAGACGGAGTTTCGCTCGTTACCCAGGCTGGAGTGCAATGGCGCCATCTCGGCTCACCGCAACCTCCGCCTCCTGGGTTCAGGCAATTCTCCTGCCTCAGCCTCCTGAGTAGCTGGGATTACAGGCACGTGCCACCATGCCCAGCTAATTTTTTGTATTTTTAGTGGAGACGGGGTTTCACCATGTTGACCAAGATGGTCTCGATCTCTTGACCTCGTGATCCACCCGCCTCGGCACACACACACACACACACACACACACACACACAATACATATATATATATATAATATATATAATACACACACATATGTATAATATATATAAAGTGTTCGGGATGGTGAATGTGTTACCTAGCCTGATTGTGGTCATTTCATAATATATATGTATATCAAATCTTCACACTGTACACCTTAAATATGGACAATTTTCATCATACCTCAGTGAAGTTAGGGGAAAAAGATTCCACTGTTTTTTTAAGAAGCCGCTATGTTCCAAGCGCTATTATTAATCAAAATACTTTTACAGTTGATTCTCCTGGATTTTCTGGTTACAAAAGTGTGTCTCTGTAAATAAGGAAATGGTTTCCTTTAACACCAGATCCTGATCATTAAAACCGTCACGGTGAAAGCGCTGCATCTTTGCACCTGCTCTGAAACCTGCTTCTCTCTTTTGTTCCAGGAGCAGTACATCTTTATCCATCAGTGTGTGCAGCTGATGTGGATGAAGAAGAAGCAGCACTTCTGCATCAGCGACGTCATATATGAGAATGTTAGCAAGTCCTAGTTCAGCATCTGGAGCTGTAAGTGGAGAAGAGCTTGTCAGGTGCTCTAAGAACTATCAGAGGGGGACATGATGGATGGGACAAAAGACGGCAGTAGCCATTTGTATTGACTCTGACTTCACATGAGTGTTTCTTCCCGACTCCTGGCCTCACACGGGTGGTCACAGGGAGAGACAAGCACTGTAGCAGATCTTTGAGTTTCAATGCACCTTGGTTGCTGTTAGCAACAAACATGAGCTTCTGTACCTCATGATTCCTCATCTCCATTCCCTCTACTGGGAACTGTAAATTATTCTTTTATTGGATCTGTGCCTGTAGTATCAGGACACTACCATCCAAAACCTATCTAGATATCTTGGGCAAATATTTTATTGATTACAAGGGTTGTACAGGGGGTTACGAAAAAGACATTAGCTGTATTGGACACTCCCAAAACCACAAACAGCAGCGACAATAGAGTCTCAGGATAGCAGAGTCTGAAAAATGCCTTGATCTCACCCATTAGGTAAGCCCTTACTTGAGAGCTTCATGAAGACACTTGTAACGTGTTCAATGCCCTGTACTCCAATTTTGACTAGTAGATCAGATTTTGGAGGTGTAAGTAATCTTGGCTAAGGTAGCAGTAATCTTCCCATTTAGTTCAGTAAAGAGACTGTAGAGTGTCTAACTATACTGGGGGAGCCAATGACAGGGTAGGGAGAGGACAGTGGTGCATGGTGGGAGAGTCATGAAAGTCTGGGAAGCATATGGACCAGTGGGCAGCAGGATGGCATTAGCATTGCACCTCTCATCCATAAAGAGAGACAGAGTGCACAATGGAACATGAAGGATAAAGAATAAAGACAGAGAGAAACAAATTTGCTGAGAGAGGGAAAGACATTCAGACCCACAAAAGGAGGCAGCACAGAGAGAGAGAGATGCACAGATCAACCCACATGTGCCTGGGTTGTGGGACTGAACTTAGTGGGAGCAGTGGTGGAGCAGGAGGAGGCTGCCACGACCGCAAGCTGCTTACTATCTTTCTCTATCTCATTCACAGGAGCGGACACGATGTGCACCCATCCTCCCTTGCTTCCAGATTGTTTTGGGGGCCCCTGATAGTCATTTTGCTAAAAAGAGGCCCTGCTTTGTAATATGTGGCCAAGGAGATAATTTATCTCACAGAAGCACCGGGAAGACTTAGCCTTAAAGAGCCTATAGTGTCTTTTTGGACTCTTTCACTTCGGGACATTTAATAATGGACCAAATTCAATAGAACACCAAGAAGGTCAAGACGCTCTCCAAAGGGCAGGAAGGACTGCACTTCTGAGTTTAGCTGGCCCTTTGCTGGTTGGGCTGAGATTTTTGTTTTTAGGTGTTTAAGTGCAATAATTTCTGTATGTGTGTGATTCTTATCAGAAAGTTGAACTGTTTTCTGCCCACACCGTTCATCAGCCCCATCATCAGCCCCATAACCCAGGAAGGAACAGGCATTGTTAGCATCAGATTATACCTCATTATTAAAAGGAGTCATGGCCACGCATGAAGAAACGGTCATTCTACTTCAAGGAGACTGAAGCAGTGCAATCTGTACTCCAGCGTCACCAGATCTGAACTGGGGAGGGTGGACAGGGAAGAGAGGCTTTCTACCCACAGATCAACTGTGTCATCTTTTCCTATTCCAAATATGGAAAGCTATCATTCAACTTCTAAGTAGAGTAGAAAAAAATTGTCTTAACTGTTCTGGTTCTTGACGGTTTCCTTCCTTATTAACAGTTGGGTGTTTCTTCCTTGGCCCTTTGGACTAATGTTACTGTCCAAGTCGTTTTTCAAGAAACCACATCTGGTTCAGAAGAGTGTCGAGTCGGACTCTAAACTCCGTGCTGTCTGAGCAATCTTGCTGCCTAGACTTTGCACTCCTTGTTCTGTTGACCTGCATACACATGAGAGCTGTTTCTTTAAGAACTCTGGGCTGTGAAAACGCACTTTCTTTCCCGCAAAGAGCTGGGAATTTATGAAGTTATGGCAGTGAACTGCAGCATGCTGGGACAATTATTTGACTACATTTTCTTTGTAATATTGTCAAGTGTCTCTACGGATTCTGACAGAGATTTCTCTTTGTTTTGTTACCCTTTCGGTTGTCAGCTTCATTTTAACGAGTGTAACTAGTAACATTTTATTCTTTGGATTTTCTATAATTGCAGTACATGATTGTGTATTGTGACATGAATGCTGTCAAAATGGATATTGATGGCATTGTGAAGCCTGTTACTTTGTGTCACTTCCTGAGAAATAAGAGGTGATGACATAGATATACAACAGAAAACACTTTGAGTTGAAAGTACATACAAGCTGACTGCTTCCCTATGGCAACTGTGGCTATTGTGAGCCTCCCTGTGTGCTTCCAGGAGGCTTTGCTCGTCCTCATGCACCTGACACTGCCCCTTCCCCTGTCTTCCCTCCATCCCTGATCATCTTTGCGAAGCCACAGATATAAGATCAGCTTACTATTTTATCAGTGACCTTAGCGATGGTGAAGGATGCCAGGTGAACAGCTCTGCGCCCCACCGTCTCTTGTCACGGAGAAGGCCTGGCTATGGCAGACCTTGGCAAAGTTTCTTGCAAGATCTGGCCAGCGAGTCTCAGTTTCACCTTGCAGGGTGAATGGCAGAGGATATCCACACCCTGCAGGTTAACAGCTTGGTCTCCTCAGGGATTGTCAGTTCCTACTCACCTCCCTGCTACCACCTCCTCCTTTTCTTCTCACCCCCCACTCCTCTATTTCCCTTTTTGGACATTTTAATAATATATCACACCATTCTCAGGAACAAACATGGTTAATGAAAGGTGGCAAAGGGATGTGTGACATTCTTAGATTTTCACACATGGACAGTCAGGAGTGAAATGTGCAACCTTGGAAGAGCCGAATCAGTGTATGGGTGAACTGAAATACATTTCCAACTCTGCCACTCAGAAGCAGACATTTTTGCAGCCTGGAACATTGCTACCCATGAAACAAGCCACTTCATAAATATTTTATGTTTTTCCTGAGCATCCCTTTAAGGTAGGGATCAGATAGTGCCAGATCAATTTTCCCAAAAGGAAAGAGGAAGTGTCCAGAGTTTAGACTGAAGGCTCAGAGTCAAAACTACGGGAAGGTCACACTGTTCACTGGAACACGGTTGCTCCTCAGTTTGTAGAGTTTATGATGGAAAAGGCATCAATCTATCAAAAGAGTATTCATCCCAATAATGACTTTGGAATTCTCTCTCCAGGGTCTCAGTTAATAAACTGAAGAAAGACCTAATCATAGCTCCATATCTTGCAGGTATAAGAAGTATCAGATATGATAATTCACCCAAAGGTGCTTCGTGTCTTGTTCTCTCTTGTACATTCCCTAAGGCTACTCTAACAAGCTCTGTTTCCACACCAGGACCCAACTTCAAGCATTCAGAAGGGAGGCTCCCAGAGCCTCTGTATTATTAATTAGGGTTTTTAAAATTCATATGAGTAGTGCTTTGTTATGAAAGAACATGGGGCATTAGCACATGCATCATGATAGCCTTTATGGCACACAGAAAGAGCTAAAAACTTGAACATTAAAAAACATTTCTCTTTGAATGCTATGTTTTTTCTTAAGACAGAGTCTCTCTCTGTTGTCCAGACTGGAGTACAGTGGCACGATGGTATGATCTCAGCTCACAGCAACCTCCATCTCCTGAGCTCAAGCGATTCTCCTGCCTCAGCATCCCGAGTAGTTGGGATTACAGGCACTCACCACCACGCCAGGCTAATTTTTTGTATTTTTAGTAGAAATGAGGTTTCACCATGTTGGCTGGGCTGGTCTCAAACTCCTGACCTTAGGTGATCCACCTGCCTCCACCTCCCAAAGTGCTGGGATTGAGCCACTGTGCCCAGCCTTGAGTGCTATTTGAGATCAAATTCCTTGCCTGCAAAAGATAATTTATGAAGTTAATTGAGAAACAACTATTAGGATACAATTTAATAAATGTAATAGTTGACACCTGTATATCCATTACTACATATGATATGATTTTATTTAACTTGAAAAGAAGAAAGTGATGGATGACAGCATTTTTTGGAAAAGCATTTTAATTCACGGTCCACAATTTCCCACTCTAAAGACAATATTGCCTCCAAAATGTAAAATTAGAAAAGTTACTATGTTTTCTGAATATCAGATTTTATAATGTATCTCCTTTCCTAAAAGCTGTTCCTACTCCCAGAAAGGTGACACAGGTCTCAAAGGATGCTGTGAGGTCAACAGGCAAAGTGGGATCGAGGGCTTTCGATCTGAATTTTTTGCAGGCCACTTGAGAGCTGCTTGCTAGAGGATTGGTCCTTAGCCAAAGAGCTAAAGTTACTGAGTCCAATCTCTAAGAGCCAAAATCCTCCCTGCTTTCTAGCAAGGAGGCCTTCCTTTACACCTCAGGAAATGTCTGATGTAATGTGCTTCAAAGAGCTGGCTCGCTTCCTAGCTCACAGATCTCTAGTCTGGTACTTGGCACAGAGATGAGGGCCAAGGGCCATGTTCATAACAGAATATAACGTTCACTTTGGCCAAAGAGGTTATGGAGCAAGAAAATATAACACGTGAACCCTGCAAAATTCCACCCCTGATTTTTAATAGCCTCATTTGGAACTGTTTGAGAGAAACTTCAGCTGCGGCATCTCTGACCCCTGGCCTTCCAGAGCAGTAAGATTTTTGCTTTTAGTTTTATCTGGTGATTATCACAAGGCCTTTTCCTGGTGGGTCACTTGATTAAAAATGGAGTACAAGGTTTAGCTCTGGGAGTTGAATCATAAGACAGACATGAACACGCTGAAGGCTGTCCTGACATGTCCCTAGAACTGTTGGAAATGTGGAGAAATAACAGGTTGTAATAACAAAACCTGGGAAAACTGGGGCTAACCTGGAGTAAAGGAAGTCAGTTACTGAATCTCTCAGTCAACAGATGTGTGTTTATTTAATCATGTTGGAAGAATCACTCGATCAATCTAAGATTCCTTGACCACTTGCAATATGGTAAGCACAAATATGAAGGCTTTTAAAAATAAGCTATCTAATCCGTTTTCATACTGTTGGTGGAAGGTTCACAACAGCATTAGTCAAGTCTTTTTTGACACTTTTTACTTACATCTCCCAAAACCTTGTGAATATATTTTCTGGACATACCCACCAGCCGTCATATTTAATGATGTTAAATATTTTCCCCAATGGCTTATATAACAGAATAACAAGTATTCACTGTTTTTGTTACTCATAAACCACTAGAGACCCTGACATGGTCGCTCTCCCTTGATAAGAGTCACAGAACTAGTTTTGTCCTCCTACTCATAACAAGAGTCTCCTCAACCATATTCCTGGCAGATGGCTAAGTCTTTTTACCGAACACTTTTAGAGGGAGGATTTACCTTAGGAGCCATTCCTCCCTTTATTTTTCTGAAAGCGTTTTTTCTCTTGTTTACACACCCGAGGACTTTGCTAACATTAAGAATGTATGAGTCTGTGCCTCTCATGGGCATAGGCTTGAAGCCCAAATCTACTTCCCCACGTTGGATAAAAAATAAAACAGGTTCTGTGGCTGCTTTGAATACCGGACTGTTCTCACTTGGCGGCAAAGGAGATGGCACTTACAGCTGACTCAAGGAGCAATGGGGGTTTCTTTCTAATGTGCTGATCCCTTTAGATGCATATTCTCAACTTCAAAACATCATTCGTAGGTGAGAATACTCATTTACCAGGTGACAAAGTTAGAGACATTAGGTGAAGAGGCAGGGTAGTTAAGTTACAAGTACACGGTTAGGAAGTGGCAGAGGCGGATTCCAAGTCAGCTCTTCCCAGCCCTAAACCTTTTCCCTTACTAATTCCTGCTGTTTCTCGTTCATACTTAGCATGCATAAAGGGCAGTGGGATGGAATTAACAGCTTCATCTCCAGGTAAGAAGTTTAATCTAGAGGGTAAGCATTCAATTTGAGAAATGGTAAATCTCTAACCTAAGAAAATCATGTATTTCTTGACCCTCTCATGCCAGGCACCATAGAAGGGTTATGGTCATGAAGATGGAGGCCACGAAGGTTCTTGCTTCTAGTTTTCATGCCAGTAGCGGAGCAGAAGTGAAAAGAAGGGCAGCAACGAGCAACGGACACCGTTGTAGAAACATATAAAGCATCCAATGTGGGTCCAAGAGAAGGACAGGTGATGTTTCTTCCTGGAAGGGGCAGGAAGCTCTATACTGCTATATTAAAGTCTAATAACTATAGGGCCACATTAAGCAATATTGAGGCAGGAGAGGCCGCGAGAAACAGACCTCTCAGACACTGAACTAGAAAGGAAGAGGTTTTATTATTACTAGAAGGAAGGGGTTTTATTATTATGGCTCAGGAGCAAGGCTTTATGTTTTGTCCAAACGGCCACGCTCCCCTAACAAAGAGAAGCTCTGCCTTTACATAGGCTTACACTCTAGATATTACAGGTGAAAGGATCTTAGGTTTACAGCCTTAGAAACTACCAGTGAAAGGGTCTTGGGTTTACAGCTTTAGAAATCACATATGAAAGGGTCTTGGGTTTACAGCTTTAGAAATCACATATGAAAGGGTCTTGGGTTTACAGCTCTAGAAATCTCATATGGAAGGGTCTTGGGTTTACAGCTTTAGGAATTACATGTGAAAGGGTCTTGGGTTTACAGCTTTAGGAATTACATGTGAAAGGGTCTTGAGTTTACAGTTTTAGGAATTACATGTGAAAGGGTCTTGGGTTTACAGTTTTAGGAATTACATGTGAAAGGGTCTTGAGTTTACAGTTTTAGGAATTACATGTGAAAGGGTCTTGGTCTCCAGATGGAGGAGTGGGTGGGGGTTTGATCTTGTTTAAGTAAAAACAATATCTTCCGGAGAGATTCCCCCACACCACGCCTGCTATCTTACAGGAAGGTGATTCAGGAGGCCCTGCCAGTCTGCCAGCCTTTTCTTCTACTGAACGCAGTGTGGAGGTCAAGGGGGAGGTGATCCCACATGCCTAGGTCTCCGTCCTCACTGCCCCTGGCTTTGAACCCCTCACCACTCTATCATATTAGTGAGAGGCCTCACTTTCATTCTCATGTTCCAGAGCCTCTGAAGAAGCTGATCGATGATGATGGGTAGAAAACATTTGTGATGTCATTTTTTGGCTAACTACAGCAGTGATGAATCCGCTAATCATCTGAAGGAAGGGGGGTGGAGTAAACCAGGGAGTGGTCCACAAACGCCCGCTATTGTTCTCACACTTATGATGAGGGTTGTTAGTCCTCCAGGCTGAGGGCCAACCTTTAAACAGGAGCTCAGGGTTGAATTCATGCCACACCTGCACAGGCACCGTTTCCATTCATAACTGCATGACCCTGGGCATTTACGTGCAGGCAGCAGTCAGGTAGTTTGAAGTTTTTACAGACTCCTCCTTCAGCTGCCAGCAAATAATCTAAGGCCAACCAGTTCCGATAGATGGCATTTCTCATTGGAGCTTCTTGTCTGGCCAAAATGGACAGAGCTTTGCCCGTTTCATTAACGAGTATTTCCAAAGCAGCCTGCAGCTGGATGATCTGATTTAGCATAGAGAAAGGAGTCCGATGTCCCCATGAGCCATTCTCTGTCCCTGTGGCCAGCCTATAGTACTCAATAATTTGTTCTGGTCGTCACTTAATATTTTCCCATTTATCTATTTTCAAACTTCCTTTCTGTCAGGCGGGGTAGACTGGATGTCCTAACAGCTCACCTGTCTTAACAGCTAATCGGAAAAAAGAAGGCTTGCTGATGCCTATGACACAGCTACCTGTCATCTTTCAGGCAGCTGTACGTTTGCTCTACATCCATGTATCCAGTACAACCCAGGAGGGGCTACCCAGTCTCTCCAGGACCAAGGGTGATTCCAAGCATCCTGTTGTTTTGGAAATTCTAGGAGGGGGTTCTTTTCAGTGTAGTTGGAGCTCTACCAGGTTACAGTGCCCACTGTTCCATTATACAGTCACTGCCCTAAGCTTTCCAGCTGTGACAGTGAAGACTGTTCCTTCTCTGGCCAAACAATATTGTCCAATAATTGAAACTTTTAAAATCCAGAAACTGTTGGTTTGAACCCTTTGAACTGAGGTCAGGTCAGGGACAGGGTCAGAGGGTAATAACTTGCAGGCTTCCCATGGCCACCTGTCACCCATAGTTGTCCCTGCACATACATAGCAAGAAGTGACATTGAGGCCGGGCGCGGTGGCTCAAGCCTGTAATCCCAGCACTTTGGGAGGCCGAGGCGGGTGGATC